ATTCAATAAATTAATATAAAAGAAAAAACATTGTGCGTCTATTATCTCCTTATAAAACGAAAGAAACATTTTGGACAACCTAATACTTACGAGTAACAGTGCGTGTACGCGTCAGAGACACTCTGAGTGCTGTCAGAGCTAAAGAGAAAGAGAGAGAAAGAGAGAACAGTCAGGAGCGGGTTCCGCTGGTGCGTGCGGGCATGTGCAAGCGCAAGGTCGTGTCGGGGTTGGGAATTCGGACTGCCAAGGGTTCCCACCCCTTCGTATTGCGCTAGAATTCTGACACTACTACCTGGACGACCGACTGCTGCTAAACGAAGATGGAGAACAACAGAGAAAAGAGTGGGAGGCAGATAGAGAAGGGCCACTCCGTCTCGTTTCCTTTCCGAAGCGTATCCTTCGGGAATACGTACCGGGTGAACCCACAGGATTCCATGCATCGGGTTGGTTCGCAAACCTGTTTCGCAGGGGGAATTTGTCACGTTCCCTGCTAATCCGATTTTCACGAGCCATACGTTATCATGGTAATAATTTTCGTGTAAAATTAGTAACACTGATTTTTACGCGTCTTATTTACCAATTATTGTGAAATTATCAGTGTAAATAATATTTATGATCTTTACAGTTATCCTTCTATGGTATTTGCATACTATGTGTGCGTTATCGACCAGCGATTTTAAGTTATCTTTCATCTTTTTATGTTTTCGTTTAAATCTAGCTTTGCTTAGAAAGATTAAGGTAACGCGTTGCAATGAAAGCCATTGGACGATATTCTAGAGACTTGGAAGAATATTCAAGAATTTTGGGCGATTTTAAAAAAAAAATACGGATCGCATGGATGTAAGGGACTCAGTGTGCAGTCGACACCAGTAAAAATAAGGTTGCAAACGAAGGATTATGGATTATTGCGTGAAATCGGTTTCTGCGTTGTGAAAATTTCTGTTTTATTTAAAAGTTACCGCGATATTACGTATGTTTATATCATATATGTGTGTATAATTTTTTAAACTACGAATTTCATCAAATTTTACTTAATCAGATTAGTTATTAGAGTACTACATGATTATTAAAGTACATACGCTGCAAGCTAAGGTACCATTGAAAATTATACGAGGAACAATATAATTCGTTATGTTTCATTCAATTTTCCGATAGTTAATATTAATTCGGATCAATAATTTTAATATTGTACAATGTATAAGTATTCTCAAAACATATCTAATAAACATATTTTGTTTTAATCATTTGAAAAATATACCAATTAGATCGAAACAATCGATAGTGTCTCGACTGAGAACTGTATAAAATATTACAAATAATATAATTGTAAAGTAGTAATTATAAATTAAATTATAAACGACTGGTTTTATTACTTTTAATCCCTAACGTGTTTTTCTATTACAGTGTTCGTCGCAAAATCGTTTTCGTTTACTTCATATCGTTCCGTTTCATGACGTGCATCGTTGTTTGACGTATACTTACACGTCGTTTCGTTTATACGTCATTTCCGTTTATAACTGGCGTACGATGAACGTGTCGAGATTGTACAATACGTCATTAGATACATTTGCAAGATTATGAGTTGCGAAATGGATAGTAATAGAAGCCTAATAATAAGATTGGCTAAGCTTAATGATAAAAGAATATGAAACACGTAACATAATCAATAAAATATATTACATCGTAGCGGGGAATATAGTTTGAAAATATAATTTTTCATTAGAAACTTCGATACGTTTTTAAATCATTAGACACTGTGTATCACTATGGAATATAGTGACAAGTATTTGTCAAATTATAAATTTCAAATTATATCTTTCTATATCGATTTGTATAATTTCGCGAGAAATTAATAAAATTTGTTTCAGTTTTGTATAAAATTTTGTAAAAAGTTACGAAGAATATTTATTTCGTCTTTGAGGGAATTTTAACAATGTTCTTTCGATATTTGATTGAATCGATGATTAAAACGTTACGAATGAATTTCCGTAACCGTAAAAAATTCCCCGATGGAATTGTCAGCCAACCCTTTTTTCATCGGTAGGAAGATAATTCAGGAAGGAAGAAGAATCTTTTGATGAACAGAAATGCCGGGAAAGGATTGAAGTTCCTTTTCCAAGTGGATGAAGTACGTAGTTGGAGTGATAATTGACTGGGCGATGATGAAACTGGCTGACTCGCGATCTTCCTAGAGGTAGCTAATATTTACGTTGAACTAACAGGAAAAGGAAGTTCTTCGTGAAGTAGGAAAAAGCTTCTCTTAATGCGAAATAGCCACTCGTTCTTTCAAAATAACGGCTGAACGAGTCCTAATAGAAAATTAATAAACAAGCGATTAAGAATTCAAAATCTTTTTTCTAAATAATTTCAGAAACGGAAAGAGTAAAATTGATTAAATAAACGTAGCGATATTTCTTAGAATAATTAACAATTATGTTATTATAATTTTTCTTTCGATGATTTTTTACTAGAAAAATACTACAATAAAAAGGAAAAATACTTTTTGATTCTAAAGTTTCTTGAAAATTCTCGAAACTGATGAAAAGCGTTGCTATCGAATATGAAAAAAAAATGTTAATCGTTTTCAACCATCTAAATGTATTTTCTTTATTATACCATCGTATACCGTAAATAAATAAAAATCACGTAGAGGTTAAAGAGGACCAGTTGTGCGATAATTTCGCAACGATCACCCGTTATACAGGCAGACCGATCTGTTCGCGTAATATTATAGTTCGGTGAACAGTAATCTGGGTTACGCCCTCCGCTCGATTCATAAGAACCGCGCGTTAAAGTAGGAGAGAACGTGATTTCTCTCGTACCTTCGTTCTTTCTCCCTCCCCCTGTCGCCCTTCTCTTTTCTAGCGACACCCTTTTCCTCTCTTTTCCTTTTTCATGCTTTCTCCAAACGCTCTCTTTACTTTAACCCCTTTCCCAATCTCTGTTTCTAATACTTCAGTTCTTCTTTTCTTTTTCTGTGTTTTCCTGCTTCTCTTTTCACTTTCACCCCTCTTTTTCTTTTATCTTTTATCTGCTCTTTTAATTAGTACACTCGCAATTTTATCTCACGTTGTCTTCATCTCCAATAACCATCTTCTTTTTTTTAAGATACTGTAAATGTTGAAGTTGTGAAGTCTACAGAAAACGATTGGCATTGATATTCAAGTATGGAACTACCTACTATTGATAGTTTTACAGCTAATTATTATTTACTAGTTTTTACTAGTTCAGTTTTATCAATCTGTAAATGTGTCAGAGAAGGTGTTCACTGTTTAACCATTTAACACCGAGCAGTTGCACTGCTTTTCAAAATCACTTTCGATCAATTTCAAAAAACGCTCCTTTTCAAAATTCGTCAAACTTTGTCCCTGATTAATGCCCCTAATCTTTCTTGGTCAGGCTCCATTGACAGAACAGCGAATAATTTATAGATCGGATTAATATTCCAAATAAATCTTTGATCTGAAGATAACAAAACACCTACGTATAATATATAAATAAATTTTACATCTTTTAAATAATTTGGATTTAACGAACCAGATGTCGAACGGTTAAACAGAGAATTTACCCAATGTGTCATTTTTTCCTTCCCATTTTTCTCCTAAAATTAATATTAAAATTTCTATCGACGCTTATTATCCTGTTCTATCAAAGAACACTGTGAATACTTTCAGTGTTCCATCATATTCGTAACGTATATTTGTATCATTCTGAATAATAGAACAATTAACGTCCTAAGAGAGAATGGCGAGAAGAAAATTGAAGGAAATGGTGCAAACTTGTTGCATGCCATCCGGACGCTTCTTTCACCCTCTCGCCCTTATCTTCTCATTTCTCTTACATTTCTCCGCGGATATTTCTTGGTCTCGTCATACCAACCAGGAATTTCCAAATGGATCCTCATTTTTTAGATGGCCATTTTTCTCACGTCCATTTTCGCGCGTCTTTTTGTTCCTACGTTGCAAGATCCGGCTATGGCGAACGGCTGCTTTGCATTTATACGTCTACTTCCTCGAGAAGCGTATTTTTTATCCTACTACGTTCTATTTTGCTCTACTCTACTTTTTTCTTCTTCTTCGTAATCTCGCCGCGTTCTACTTTCTCGCGTTAATTCTGGATTTACGAGCGTTCGTGCGTCGTGTTGCAAATAGTTGCGAATATTCCGATTCTTTCATCTCGATGCAATATCGATCTTGCGAAACTTGCGATTCGCTGACTCAAGGATTATCGATAACGTTAGTTACATTTCTTTCCATACAAAATATCCGAAATTTGTACTGTTAAATAGAAGATTGAGTCAAGATTGTATAAGATATGAGATTTTTTTCATTTTCTTACCGAGAAAAACGTCATTAATTACCATTTCTAATTGATCCTTTACACCTGCACCGATAATCAAAATGGGTTAATAGGTTATTCGCTAGTAATAAATTATTAGTAAGTTAAAATCGGTTCAAATTATTGGTCTTGAGTCTTATAATTTCTTTTAAAAGATTGGCATGTTTTTGAATATATTAAATATAAATTGTAAGGATGATTAAAGAGTGATATATCGTCGAGATATTACCAGCTCGATTTATATACTATTCTACCTTTCATAAGTGATCCTATACTTTTTCTACCTATAATTACTATTATACTAATTGCTATAATTACCTCATATGTTACTAAATAAATAAACATCTTATTATAATAGGAAGATATGATTTATTTCAATAGAAATAAGTTCTTTTGCAACGTTAAATCATGCAGCACGACTTTCATGAATCACTGTATCCTCTTTCTTTTAGTTACCATTATTATTTTAATAATATGTACCTACTATTATTTTAGTAATTTGCGTATAATTACTTCGTACAATAGCAAATAGATAGATAATCATGCTGTTATACGAAGACACGATTTGTTTTAATAAACCAAGTTCTTCTGTAAGTTTAGTTTAGGTACAGAAACTATCATGAATGACCAAACGTTTTTTTTTTTTTTTTTATTATTTGCAGGGCTGAGACTCGCAGAGGACCAGAGGAGTTTATTGAATAAATCAAGGTCAAGCGAATGAAAGAGCGACGAGGAGGGCCGAGGCATCGGCCGGGATTCTGTCGTGGCGCAGAAAAATCAAATTAAACAGCCGCTTTTAAGTCGAATTAAAACGAATGCGCTTAATTAAAGCGGCCTGTGCCGCTCAACTAAAGGAGTTTTATTGACGGCGACCGAGTCTCCTTTGTCGGTACCACCGTGTACCCTTTCATTATTACGTTAAAAGATGCCCGCGACTTTTTGGTTTTGCAGCAAATAACGCTCTATTTTTCTCTCCGTTAAAGACAGCCCGGTTTTTTTCCGATTTTTCAATCCGACTTCTCTGTTTTTCAATGTTTCCTTTCTTTGTGACTTCGAGACGCGTTTCAGGATCCAGCTTCTTCGTAGCCGTATTTTTTGCTCCTTTCATTCTTACGGCTACGTGAATCGGAGATTTTTTGGAGGCGGCAGCATGGTGAAAAAGAAACGAGCGTGTGAAATTAATTTACTGTCCTTATTGCTTCTCTTTGTTAATTGGATTAGAGTGAAAAAAGCGATAGCCCTTTAACATATTTGTTGGCGTTAGTTTTATGGAAGGTCTGCGTAGTTTTATGGAAATTCATATTTTCATAGAGCCAATGAAAAATCTGGAATCTAATGGTAGGTAGGATGTTATCTCATCCGCTGAATGTTATACAAGTAGCTGCTGTATCTTCGTTATTTTCTATACTTTCACTTGTCGTGTGCATTTTCCAATTTGTCGTCTTCTATAAACGCGTAAAATTCAGCCATACGCGGCGGTTATTGAACGAGAAGCTCGTAACGAATGCGAAGAAGAAATGTTTTTACTATCGTAATGCATAAAAATCGGCGAAGCAAATGTTTAAATAAAGCAGCCAACACAACTTGTGCATTCTAGTTTTCCATATAGTACAGCGCAGTTTCCGAACGATTTATTTGAAATTCTACCTTATTTTATTACACTACCAAAGGGTTAGATGATAAAATAATTCGTTTCATCGTGGCTGTAACGATGCTCGTGGCCCATGGTTTATCGGTCAGAAAAATGTGCAGACCCGTGACAAAAGGAGTCATAACGGAACCGCGTTCGCAAGCCAAAGACGAGCACGTTAACGGTGTCTGAGGTTTCACCGCGCTAAATACACACTTTTTCCCTCTCACTCGTCGCGTTAACGTCGAACCAACCGCGGACGACGACTCTTTTTCTTTTCTCTTACTCGACGATGCTGTCCGCCGTGAAAAGAAGCAGCTACTCCATCGTAGGGATAAAGACGAGAAAGCGAAGAAAAAGCCACGGTTCTCGTTGCAGAGAAAATCGGAAGAGGATCGACGTAGAAGATGAATAGAAGGCGAGAAGCAGAGGTTCTCCCTTGAAACAGGGGGACAATCTTCCCCTGTTCATTGTGAGAATTTCTAATTGTTCGCCAATGTTCCGGATATTTATGTAAGGGAATTTTTCTCTGGGAAAATGGTACGTGGCATTATCTCTTACCATATAATGTATGGATTATCGAGAAATTATAATTTTTTTTAATAAATTTAACAGTTGAAAAGCAACACGTGAGTGTCTGGTGTTTTTATTGTAATTGGCAACTAAGTGATTGCGGATTTTGTCAATACCAAAATGTCAATACCAAAATTTGTCAATGACAAAATCCGCAATCACTTAGTTGCCAATAGAAATGAAATTATGTAAATCATTGGCGATATTATGTAACGTTATAGGTTTGATAATAATAGCATCAGTATTAGTAATATTAATAGCTGTTAATAATAGGATGATGTATTTTAACAGTATAATTGATATTAAAAGTAGGGTAAGGGGATTTTCTTTCGGCAGGGTGGATGCGACTAATTAAGAAATTTAACAGTTGAAGAGCAATGCGTGAGTGTCTGGTGTTTTTATTGTAATTGGCAACTAAGTGATTACGGATTTTGTCATTAGGTGGTATTGACAAAATCCGCAATCACTTAGTTGCCAATGGAAATGAAATTATGTAAATCATTGGCGATATTATGTAACGTTATAGGTTTGACAATAATAGCATCAGTATTAGTAATATTAATAGCTGTTGGTAATAGGATGATGTATTTTAACAGTATAATTGATACTAAAAGTAGGGTAAAGGGGTTTTTTTCGGTATGGTGGATGTGACTTTTTGTTAGAAAATTGTGTACGTATCGTGAAAAAATTACAAGTTTTCTAGGAAATTGGGTGATTTAAGCGTAACGTACAAATCTTGCTTTTAGAAATGAAATTATGTAATTATTAGTAATTGTGTAATTATTGCAGGTAATCGTGTAATTATTAGTAATTATTAGTAATTACATAATTACGCAGGTAATTACGTAATTAGTAGCGTCGTATCATTATGATATTTCAATGATGTACTATTAAAACGATGCCTGTAAGTTAAAGAAGAACTAAATATTAGGAAAAACATAAGAAGTCACTTCTCAATTTGTTCATTTCCTTTGATCTTCCACTTCTTCCTTGCTACTCCTAAAAGATACCGAAAAGTCACAAGCTTCGAACTTCGATCTTATCGAAATCCCTGAAATCAGTGAACTCTGAAAATCGATAGTTGCCGAGTGAAAAATCCTAACGGTATGTAAAAGTTACTATTATGAAAATTTCATTTCAGTTACGTATTTCAACTCTTACAGGTCTCCTTAGTTTTACAGCAAATGAAAATTATATTTCACTGCTAGAAAAGTAAAAATCCATTTTACAAATGATAGCACTAAACTGGCTTACATCGCCATAATCCTCATCTAGCCAATTATCACAAATATAAAACGGTGATAGTTTCCAAGCAACAAATGAATAACAAAAAAAAAAGAAAAAACAAAAATAAAAAGAAAAAGAAACTCTGAATCGGACATAGAACGAGCGCAAACGAGGGAAGAACAATTCTCGCGCCCTTCGTGTGCGGCAAGGTCCGTCCTGCTCGTTTCTTTCTCCTCCGGCTCCTCTTTGCTCGTTTTCTCGCGGCGTCGTCGTCGTCGTCGTCGTCCCTTCTTCCCATTCCATCGTCCTCTTTCTCTTCTCTGCCGGCCGTGATCTCACGAGATTTATTAACACGCGTCGCGCCTCGCGGGGATACGCCGCGCGTTGCGAATTACGGATGGAGCTCGGTCGCGCGCGTTCACGCGCATCACACCGCTCGCCTATATACTTACTTATGTACTTCGCCAGTATTATTTGCACACAATGCGACTTATGAAAAATATCTGTATTAAAGAACCGCGTTTTCGACGTGGACGTCTCATTGTTCAGCGTGGGACGAAGTTAAATCACAGACCAGCGAGCTTTCTTCTTCGATAATGGTTGGCAGGACGATGAGGTGGAGGGTGGGGGGATATATAGAGAATTTTTGGTAGATTCGCACATTCGTGTTAAAGCAACTTTCTTACGTTAAATTTCGTCCAGATGATGTTTTTTAATTTCTTCCTTTATTTCTCTGTGTATTTTTGAAGGCATCGATCAATGTATCATTTATGAGATTTATCAAACAGACAGACTGTCGTAACTACGGTAAAACTCTGTTTATCTGAATTTGTAGTGGAACGAACAGTTTAGGTGTAGATATAATGGAAGTTCGTATCTCGCAGGAGCTCGCTAAATTTCTCCCTGCTACCCATTATTTTTCGTTCATACAGGTAATAGGAGTTGGCGCTCGGTTAGTGGGTCAGTGAATTCAACCAGCAAAAGTTCAGTTAATCGGGCATTCACTAAAATTTCCCTCCGATAAATCCAGTTCCACTGTATTGAATAATTAGCGCGAGCTTTGGCGAGCGAAATAGGAAAATCCAATGAAAATTGCATTTAACGAGGAAGTCAATAATCGTATATCGTAACTAGACTGCGGATTTTTATGCATTTACAGGAAATTTGAAAGTGCAAAATTCCGCGGAATGCACGTGATATGAAAATGTATGTAAAATATCCAAGGCAAAATGCTTCGTGCGATACTTGGGAAAAAATTCGATCTTTTATTGGAGAATAAATAATAATAATAAGCACAGTGTAAAATTTCAGTATAAACAAAAATACAATCGTCGATGAACATTAGTCAATTGTTTCTTCGCTCGTATCTGTGCCATTTATTTAAATGAACGCAACGTTGAGTTTTCTTCACGATTAAAAAACATGGCATGCACATGGCTTTTTTTTACAGACACATTTTCCTTTTCCATGAATTTGCACTTCGTTAACGCATAAATTTTCTTCTCCTCGGAAAAACCTCGTTTCTTGGCACTCGCAGTGCCAGTTCGACGTTCCAGCGAGACAAATTTTCTATTTCTTTGAATCATTCTTCCCAAAGATAAGAATCTGCGTAAACAATCCGCAATGTAATCGTAACAGATTCTGATTTAAAATTATAGTTAGCTAGAAACGGTAAAGAAATGCTGACGATTCGCGAGTCAAGCTCGATAAATTCACGAATCATGGGAAACGACCAATTCTCAGCATCCGGTGACTTCCAATTACGTCGCATTGTGTTCGGCAATCCTCTATGTTCCCGCTTCCGTACGTCAAAGAAGCAGAGGAAAGAAGAAAAAAAAAAGGTAGGAAAGAAAAGAAAAGAGAAAGAGAAAAAAGAGTCGATCGTGGTATTAGGAGGCTGACAATGAAGAGAGGGGCCAGGCGTTGTGACTGTGTGCGTGTATGCGACTGGAAGTGGGCTAACTTTTGATGCGTTTCTAAATAAGGGTTCGACATACCTTGTGACACATGTCACTCACGCGGGAATCTGCGAATCATCCCAGGACGGGTTTAAAGACAATTCCCTGAGTTTCTCACGCGGAAGAAACTTCACTTGATCCTGTCTTCTTTTCTTTTTTCTTCCATTTTTCTCCGTTAAAAACTTGTTATTTCATTATATAGGTTGTTTCACGGTTTAACAGCCAAACTTTGTACGTGCATTTTACAGGTATAACGAAGCAAAAACGTTTACGAACACGAATATAGATCGTTTAGAGCTTTGTTAGAAAGTTACAATAAAAATATGAGATACAGGGGGAACAATGAAGAAGAAATGAAGGACGATACTTTAAGAAAAGGCAATTACGAAACGTTTCAAAATGTTCATTGTTCCTGTGATACTAATGGCGATCAAAGATTAAATTTGTTACCCTATGACGCTCATTTGGATTTCGTTTTATCCGAACGAAACGACCTAATACTCGTCTGATATATCTTTCCTTTTTAATTTTATCCAAACGTAAAGACCCGATGATCGCGGACCAAAGTATTCCTTTGGTATTCTTATGGTTGTTACTTTTAGTATAATTTTTTAACACAGCCTTCGACAAATCACCTAATTTTATATGACATTTTTCTCTTGATTATATATATTTACACCTGAACACAATAGGATCGTTAATCACGTGAAATTGCAATCATATTTTTCATGATTTAAACAAGGCGAATGTACTTTTTAATTTGTTAATTCTATATTTACATTTCTTTCGTTCGGTTTGCTTCGGTATTTTGTGAATTTATTCGTGAATTTTTAACGTATATATAAATATTTGTCAATTCAATTTATCAATTTAATAGCACAACTTTCTTACCTTAAATGTCAATACTCGACTAAAATAATAATGTGATAACGTATCATCGTTTGTAATAATGTAGTCTGCACGTAACAACCGTTAATGGCCTCAAACGAGAGGCACCTCTTGAAGTGGCGTCATAAATCCCTGCATCCCTCGCGGAACCCTCGATGGCGACAAATAAATACGCGTAAAACGGGGATACCAGTCCCTTCTAGTTGTTATACAAACAT